GATCATGTGATAATGGAATATTTGGAAACCGTAAATAGATTTCTTCCTAAATTTCATTGCAGTCAAAATGGAATAAAAAACGACATTACGTTGTTTTCACTGGTATCTGGACTTTATTATTTTGCTTATAACTTGGGGTAAGTTGTGTGGACTACGTGTAAAAACTATTACGAAAGTTTACTGTCCCAACTTGATCAACTTCATTTACGTTCAACTTAATATTTCGCCGTCACTATGACGATTACGTTCAACTTGATATTTCGCCGTCACTATGACGATTACGTTTAACTTAATATTTCGCCGTCACTATGACGATTACGTTTAACTTAATATTTCGCCGTCACTATGACGATTACGTTTAACTTAATATTTCGCCGTCACTATGACGATTACGTGTAACTTTATATACCACCGTCACTATGACGATTACGTGTAACTTTATATACTACCTGTGCACCACTGTTACTGTAACAATCATGTGTAATTTATTAACTACTTCCAATTTTAAGATTATATGTAATGTTTACATCACTGTAACGATCACGTATAACTGTATATAACACTGCCACTATGGCTATCACATGTAACTATATATACCACCGTCAAAATCACAATTACGTGTAACTTTATATTCGACCGATTACGTGTAAATATACTACCTCCAATTTTAGGATTACATGCAATCTGTGCATCATCGTCACTGTAACGATCACGTGTAATCTATATACTACCTTCAATTTTAGGATTACATGTAATTTGTACATCACTGTTACTGTAATGATAACGTGTAATTTATATACTAGTACTACTTCCAATTTTAAGATTATATGTAATGTTTACATCACTGTAACGATCACGTATAACTGTATATAACACTGTCACTAGGGCGATCATGTGTAACTATATAAACCACCGTCACAGTGACAATTACGTGTAACATTATACACCACAAACAATATGATGATTACGTGTATATATAAACAGAAAGACAAATATTTATAGGAATAAACCAATAGCACACAAACAACCTGTCACATGACCTAGAGTGGTGTAAATAATGTAAACAATGTTCGTGTTTCTTTATTCAGAATGTGTATTGGTCCGATAATGGGGTCTGGTTTAGCTGCTAATTTCGGATTCGCTTGGAGTTGTACCTATGTGTCCATTATGGTGGCCGCGACGTTTCTGATATACGCCATCTATGTCGGTTATAATAGATGTAAGGAGTGGCGGCATGCCGAAAGGACACTTCAAGAAAAAGAGTTGGAGATGAATGGAATGCCGACGGAAGCTAACGGGGACGTTACGTGGGACTATGTAAGAGACGATCACAGCGACTATGACGAGGAGAAAAATCCTTTTTATACAGCACCATTAAACTATTCGTCTATGATGAATGGAGACTCACGCTAAAGTTTCAAGACGATGGCCATAGTTGCCATAGTATCGTACTTGTAACCTAAAGGTGTTTTTTGGATAAGAATATGCCACGTCATGTTATTTTGTGTACGTGCTCTGGACGAGGGTGGCGCACATAACAACATTGGCTTTGTATTCTTCTTGGATGAGTGCAATTCATCACGAAGTTAGTTTTCGCGAACGAGAATCATAGTAGGGAGTGGCCATGATATACGACATAAGACAGTAAATAGGTTGTTCTGTAAGCGAATATGGTAACACATGTAAAACAATTATTCTTGTAAAACAAAAATACAATCACACACATAACTAAATGATTCTCTATAAATATATTAATTTCAACAGTAAACACTGCCAGTCCGATCATTTTAATTTGTCAATTCTGTGGTGTAATTAAATATTGTAAATAAATAAAATATTAAAGCTTTGACTGACTAATCATTGCTCCCCATCCCGCCCTCAGAACATGCTACGAATTGCTACTAGGTGTCTAATTGTGGGCGTTTTTTTTGTTTGTTCACAAGGTAGTTTGATGAAGCATGATTGTCAATTTGTTTAAACTGCCAAATTCTGGCACACACAAGGTGACGTGGCTGTCATACAACCATCGATTTATATTAAGTCCTCGCGATGGCTTTCACGGAGAAATATAATAATAGTCATCCAGATACAATAGGACAGCATCCCAAATGTGTAAGTAAATTACATCAGCGAGTCATGCAAAATAGCTCAAAAAAATAAACTTTTAATAATTACTAGTATCTATTTTATCATTCTGGTCGTATAGTACTGCACAAATGTAGTAGTATAGTTTGGGAAGTAAATTGCGCCCTCACGGCATCTCATTGAGAAACCCGGAAGAGAAGAGATGTTTCACAACGAGGGCAAGATGAGGTCACGGATATAGCGATGTGGGAGTGAATCATCGTACCGCGACCAATTCTTCGATTTATTATTACCAAAAACAATCAAGGTATTTCCATCATGTTGCTATTGAGATGAAGTAATTACATTCAGTCGTCATGGCTACTGCAGTACCGAAACGAAAAGCGTAAGTACGATCAAACTTGTTCCGTAAGGAGGGTGGGGTCAAGTACATTGCCATTGCAAGTCAGATTGCTGATGGTTGTTTTTGGATAATATAATTGATCGTGATCCTATTTAGAACGCAATCTCATTGTTTTGAATACAGTGGTTGGTAATTACAGTTACTCCCGTGCAGTTTTTAGGGGTCCCACAACGGAGGAGTGTCGATTTATAATCCCAGCTGTTTCGTTGTCAAGTTGTTTTGTCGTCCCAACACAACTTCGGACCAATAATGTTTCTACCCAGTGTTGTTCCGTACCAACGCTTATTCGTTTCAATGCTGTTTAGTCCCAAGAATGTTTCAGCCCAAATACTGTTTGACTGTGGTACGAGCGAATTGATATTATGATTTACAGTGAACTCGTCCTAATTCACATTCGCCCAATTAATTTTCAGCCCAATTCACATTCGGTCCAATTCACATTTGTCCCATACCTTTGGTCAATACATGAAATTTCTTCAAGAATACAGTCAAACTCAGCCAGATTCTAACTCGGCCAGATAAAAATAGGCGAACTCAGCCAGATGTAATCGCCGAAGTGCGAAGTAGTCAATGGTCAATTGTTATCACCTTCTTTAATGATATATCTGCTGCACAACACGCCCAGTGACGCTGCCGCTTCACTGATATGTTGATGATTAATTAACTTCCATGACGAGTTCAAATCTTCCCAAGTTCTGCGAACACTTTCGTTGAAAAAAACATTTCATCGAAAGTTGAATATATTGTTATTTAAAGCAGGGGAGTCATCACCTGTGCATGCGTCAGTTGGCCATAGCATGTCATTGTTTACAAACAAGCGTCTACCCATGAGCCTTTGCATTTTAGCGTGTGTTGTTATCGTCGCAGGTGACGAACCTCCCGCTTTAAGTATCAAATTACTAATAAATGTTGTAGAACGTAAGTTCAGTGCACAATATTACATCGAAAGTTTGTTTTGTCTAAAGGTTGTGAGGATCTTGAACTATATCACGTATATTAGTACAAATTGATATAATTTTTCCATGCTTTTATTGCATTAATTAGTATTAAGAAATCTGCTGTAATTGGTTTGTTGATATTATATTGGTTAAAATGGCGCCATGTTTGGTGCACGTAAAATTCAAAATTGCTATTGAAAAGCACAACACATCCTTATTACAGCAAGTCTCAGAAGTATTGGGGCAGTCAATTTGCAAACTCACCAGCAAATTGGCTAACTGCTTGGGTTTTGACTGAACCGTTGGCTTTCAAATCTCACTAACAGCAACTTGTTGCCACATCTACTCTGGGCGAGTCTATATTGCAGTAGGGGACTTAGAAAACTTTTATGTAGCCTCGGCTTCGTAGCCTTGCACATTTCTGGGATTTCCCATTTCAATTTTAATTCAAAAGTAGTTTACCTTTACCATATTGGTAGCCATCGCAATTCTATCGAATAATGGGGCGCTCTGTCATCTCGCCGTTTCCATGCCTTCAAATTTCCCTGGTCAGAGCCATAGTCAACTGGCGTACAAGTAATAATAAAGTAAATGCAATTATTTCACTGATATTTACTATATGAAGGCAGCAATCTTGAATACTGCTTGAAACTAAATAACGAGACAAATTGAAAAACAAGTTTTTCTGTTTCCTTCAAATCAGGGGAAAATAACAAACTTTCATAGCCAAATGAACCATTGGGGTAACATTAAGCCATCCACTAATAAAATTTGGCTGCGTTCGCTGTTGTGGCGTGGAAAATCCCTTGCACACGAACACCTCATGAAACAAAGAAAATTGAACATTTTCCCTGGGCAATTTTATAAGACCGAAATCGCCATCTGACTGTAAGACCCTCACTGATTAGCTCCTGTTAGGGTGACAACTGTCTTTTTGTCGTTTTCATAATGGCCCTGAAAAAAGGTGATTTCACTCCGCAAAGAAACCTTTGATCATATAAATTTCAGCAAGTCGTTATAATTTATTTGTCCTTCAATGTACTATAACCATGTTGAACCCTCCATCCTCTGTATAGTTTACAAAATCGTTTATTTATATTCTGCTACATAAAATCATTGTATGTCTCCTACTATAATACAGATTCACCCAGAGTGGGGTGACCACAAGTTGGCGCGAGCAACATACAAAAGCCAACTGTTAAGTCAAAACCCAAACATTTAGCCAATTCACTAGCGAGTTTGCAAATTGGCTGCCCCAATACTTCTGACACTTGCTGTAACATTATTTACTTTCAAAATAAAAATACCCCCCTTCCCCAACGTTGAGTCCAAGTTGGTATTGATGCAGGTCAACCTTAAATCAAATGACTTGACAAATAAACTTGTGAGATTTGGAATGAAACGACCACCCACGTAGCCGAGCATCCCCTCGAAAAATTATGCAAATGACAATTATTGTTCGCTATGTGCCAGATTGAGGGGAACATTACGTCTCTTCAGAGAAAATAAAATTGCATTAAAATTGATTTCCACTTTTACATTGAAAAAAAATGAAATGATCACAATCAATACACATATTTTATTACTATCATTTAGGCACCATCAGAACTTACTATGTTAAAATTATAAGGGCGTGTGGAAACACAGTCAACTATACATGTATCTTTGTTGTCACATGTGTTCAAGCATAAACAAACAATTTCTGCTATGATGTTTTCTTACATGATTTGACCTGCAACAACGTCTTTTGACCTAATGGGTCAAGTCTGTTATTAACCAATCAGAACAATTCTCAAAAATTGAAATGCCCCAAAAGTGTAGGGTGGTTGCATAGTCGAGCATGGATGGGTATTATAAATAGGAAACTGAATGTTACATATAATAATTTTACTGTAGGCCTAATTATTAATGCATTAATGCATGTCTACTACCAGTTAGGTCACTGTGATTCAAAATTAAGACCAAACGCTTTGAAAAAAACAAATATGATAATATTTGAAGTAAAATTTTGGTAGAAAACTAATTAGCAGTGGAAAGGCTAAAATGCTTCCAAGAAAATACACAATTAGATAAAATTACCTTCTACATCACAATAATAAGCCATGCGTAATTCCCCTGTATAGTATGCAGAGGACTTCTACACATGGTACTATCCCTGCTATATTTATGCATACATACCAGTAAAAGCAGTATTACAACCTGCCTTGTCATTACAAAATCTTGGCCATTGGGAGAGCAAAACTGATTGGTGCATTTTGTTGAATTATTGCTTAGAAATTATAAAAACACCCCAAAATGCCACACAATTTATGTACAGTAGAAATATAGATGTTTGCAGTGCTATTTATTGTCATTTTTTCTGACTTTTTAATGGTACATCTCACAAAAAAAATACCACCCTGTGTATCTGTGAAATAATGTCCTCATGAAATCAACACATACTCCACTTAATCAATGGCGAAAAAGTAATAATGAGTATTTTCTGCGTATATGCATCTATTAAGCAGCATCAGTGATTGACTGATGATTGGATAATAATTGGGTCTCTATCACCAGACGTATTTGGCCGTATTGCCAATAGTTTCCAATGCAGGGACCCCTCATTTTTGCTCATTTTGCACTGAATTTGACCTTCTGAATTTATAGATTTTGAATGAAGTAAAATGGATCAGTGATTTGGGGGTGCGTTTATTCCACCATGTCTGTGTTTTGTAATTTGTAATTTTTGTGTCATGTAGCGATGACAAATCTGGTATTAAATGCGGTATTAAAAATAAATTACATATTTTTGTTTCTCTATATATTTAGGGACCTAAAAGTGGTTATTATGGGAGATTCCAGTATCGGTAAAACAACATTGATTCATCGATATCTTGATGGAAAATTCACAGATGTATCCACTGTAAGTCTTATATAATAAACTATGATAGAAGTGCCCCAAGCCTTGCGCTATGTTTTGTTCATTACGAGTCCCTTGCAACCTACATGTACATGTATATAACAAAATATGGGTATTTTGAATTTTAATATTTACAAATGTGTAAAATGTATTTTAATTTACCTTGCCTATTGATAAAAGAAAAAATATATATGTGGGGAAAATGTCTGTCCTTGTTGTTGTTGTTGTTGTTGTTGTTGTTGTTGTTTTTACTTCCAAGCTTGGATATTATATTAACCAGTTTGGGAATCCAAGCCAAGTTCTCTTTTGGTATGTGTTCTGTATATTTCACAATACATTGGTGACATTTTATTTAAAATTGTCTCTTTGTGGTTAAAAAAATTAAAATTTTTTTTATCTGATGACCTTCGAATTTTGAAATTTTATCAATCACTTTAATGTGTCAACCAAGTCCAATTTTGGTGTTACTAGAAAAGTCTGGCTGAAATATGTTAGACTTAGAAATAAGTGTATAAAATTTATATGCTGATCAAATAGAAAGTGTAGCAAACTGATATGTTGTTTTCATTGTGAAATATAAATAAAAAAAGTGCCAAGTACAACGTACAGTACAGCTGTCGCATAGGCTTTGGCTTATTTGATTTTAGCTTTACTTTGGATTCACATAAACAAAAGACTGGCTTGGCTTGTCATTTTCAAGTGTCACTACAGCATCACTTGCAGCGTCATTGTACACTGAATGTTTTTGTGATCTGAATGGTGTTTTAATGGTGAAGTTCAAATATATTTAACGTTTGTGTTACGCAAGTCTATGGGAAGAACCATAGCTCTTCTGGGTTGATAAAAAAATCCTAATATCTGAAAATAACAAAATTTAATTTAATGACACAAAATACACCATAAATTACTAAACTACCATCAAAAAGGCTAAAGACCGACACAAGAAAAGCTGTGGACCCATAGCTACCATAGCACTAGCTGTGGACCCATAGCTACCATAGCACTAGCTGTGGTTCAAT